TCTATAAGAGGAAGGAAAAAAGAACAGGTTGTAGCTTATAAACCCATTCCCCCCATATAGCTTGGAGAAACCATGAGCCTCCACCAGCCTCAAATGTATGTCTTACCCAATCAAACCATCTCTGGTTCTTCTTGTACTTGTTCTGCCAACTAAAGTTCTTACCTGTTTTGATGTTGCAGATTTGACAGTGGGCTGGAATTGGCAAGTTGTGTGGTAAACTCAGATTTGCTACCTCTATCATGGACCTCCATCTCGAGTCTATACTCAGAAATGAAGGCAAACCCACCTCAGCAATCTCCATCGTCTCTGTCTCCAAGGTTTCAAATTTACAAGCAAAAAGACAACACAGCAGTTGTTGTTGCATTTGCGACATGTCCAGTTTACTCTCCTGATCATCTTCTCCAAGGAGATGGAGGGACAGAGTTGGTTTCATCAGCCGATCTCAAGCAGCAGGACTTCCCTCACTTTGAATTCCTCTGCTCCAAAGCCAACCCATCTTTCTCCCTCCACAATGCCGCAATCACCTGCTTTGCCTCTCTTTTCGACGACCTCCTTCCTCTCACGTCTGAGGTACCACTTCTTCTTGCTTCCTTTGCCTTGTATAGTTTTCAAGCCGTTATGGGTGAGATTGGACTTCCAAGTTTTGAGCTCCAGGTGTGATCAATCTTGTCATGGCTTTCTACATTTTTCTACCTGAACCAACTCCTTTTACTTTGTACCGCAGTTGCTTGTCACAAAAGGCAATGAGATAGCCCTGAAATCGCCACTAATAGTGACGGGACATGCCTTAGGAGGTTCAATCGCCTCCCTCTTCACGCTATGGCTGCTGGACAGAATGAGCTCCAAGAAGCCGGCGAAGAGGCTCCCTCTCTGCATAACCTTCGGGCCACCGCTCGTCGGCGACAAAGGCCTCCGCCAGGCCGTCTCGCAGCGCTCTACGTGGCCCTCCTGCTTCCTCCATGTCGCTTCGAGCCGTGACCCTCTTCCCTCTGCCCTCCTTGCCACAGCGATCCATTCTTCTTCTTCATCATCGATCAGTAATTATGAGCCATTTGGGACGTTTCTGATGTGTGATGAGCAGAGTTGCGATTGCGTTGGAGACCCTGAAATCGTTTCGCGGTTGCTTTCCCACAAAGCGACGGAACAATTGGGATCTCTCGACGTTGATGAGTATGGGAAAATGGTGGAATATCTCAAGTCCAGAGTTATTTGCCGAGGAAGCTCGATACTTGGTCGTCCCATGGCGGATTCGATGCAGGCTGGGATTGCTTTACAGCTTCAATCAATCGGCATTTCGCTAGATCAGGTAAACAGAGATCTCCAGGCCTTCATTTTTACTTTGGCTAATAATAAGTGCACTTAAATGGGTATTACGTAATAATATCAATGCAGCAGAAGCAGAGCACAATCAGCCTAGCTACAGAGCTGGATAAGAAGCAGAAATTCTCATCTTTCCGCAAACGGAGCGCGCTGGAGCAGAGCAGGAAATTACAAGAGATCAAAATGAAGATGGCCTACTTAGAATGGTATAAAAAGGACAGCAGAAACAAAGGAAAAGGGTACTACGACAGCTACAAAATACAGAGCACCACAGCCGACATAGAAATCGCCAAGCACAAGAAATTCCTGACCAATTACTGGAAGGACCTCGTCGAGGAAGCCGAAAGCAAGTCCCAAAAGGAGAGCTTGTTCTTCCGAACCATGTTCCTCTACGGCGGAACGAATTACCGGCGGATGGTGGAGCCACTCGACATCGCAGAGTTCTACCGAGAAGGGAAAAACAGATACTACAAGAAACAGGGGAGGTCGCCGCATTACGTTCTGCTGGAGAAATGGCAGAAGGAAGACGCGGCAGGGAAGGGCAAGATGAAGAAGAAGGAGAAGAAGCCAGTGGACATGATGACTGAAGATTCTTGCTTCTGGGCGGACGTGGAAGAGGCTCTGTTTGCGGTGAGATTGCTGAAGCAGAAGGGTAGCGGTGGTGGCGGCGAGTCCAGTGAGGCGAAGAACCGTTTGGTGGAGTTCCAGAGGTACGTCATGGAGCAGATTGAGAACTATGCGGTGGATTCTGAGATTTTCCTGCGGGAGAGCTCGTATATGGTTTGGTGGAAGGAGTTTCAGGAGGTTGTTGCGATTGTTGGAAGTGGTAGTTCTTCGTTGGTTGAGTATATGAAGAGCGGCAGGTACCTTAGCTATGGTTCTCCTTAGTGATTCATATGCGCGTGTATTGAATTGTACCCTTTTCTCTGTAAACAACCATGATTCACCCCAAGTGAAGTGTGTGTGTATATGTACTACCATGTGTTTGTCTCATCCTCCACCTTTGAATTTTACTTTCAAATTGAAAGATTTTTTCAGTTCCAACAAGGTTCTGGTTCAGACGAGTTACCGTCTATAAGTACATTCCACTCCGATCAAGCTGTTTGGGGATTGGGGTTACGGAAATTCGAACCATGGCCACTTGGTCAAACTAGCTCTGATACCATGTAATAAACAAATTGGTCTCAATAACTCGAATTGTTCAGAGAAGGTTATGTTGGATCTTATACCACACTCTAACACACGTTAGACCTTCTGTTCGGGTTCGGTCTATAACCTTACTCTTTACCATATTGGATTAAGGCTAGACCGATGGAAAAGTACTAATATATATTTCTCATACTCCTCTATAATTACCTCAAGTATAGTAAATACGATTTTCTCCCACTCATGGATTGACTAACATTCATTGTGTTTTAATGGAAATAGATTTTTTTATTTCATTTATGGATAAAATAATAAACATATAAAGATTTTAGTTTATAAAAAAATAGAGCATCCACATCAATGCAATTGCAAAAATAATTGCATTTGGGCTCTTTATTGTCAACTCAACTTTTATGCAATCATTTTCGTCTTGTTCCCATGTACACCATGAATGATCACCTCAATCACAAAATCGGATATCCCATTCAAGAAGATAACCAAATGCATTTTTCATTCACAAAGTTACTCATTTTATCTAGCATCCCAAGTACACCACAGTCAGTTCGATCACAAATCTTTTTTAGGGGAAACCTGATGAGTACTTTCATTGAAAATCAGTCAAAGTGAGCCTCTTGGGCCATTACATCGGTAAAAAAATATGGGCATACAACCCTCCCAACATCTCTCACAAGTCACAATCATTATCAAAAGAAAACTTTGCTAACAGATGTGCTGCACAAATTGCTTCTCTAGGTGTAAAATTCCAGCTCCTCACCCTTGCCACTTTGCCCAGTACTTGAATATCCAAGCAAATACTGCCAACTTCACTTCTACATCCCTCATTCCTTTTAATCTTTCCAATTAATCTTTTACAACCAAATTCAATAATTAGCGAATAGTATCCTCTTTCGATAGCCTTCTGAATTCCGAAGATCATTGTCTTTCCTTTTGCAATGTCAAGGTAAAAATTCATTGTTTTTAGGTAACGATCCATCCAAACTTTACTTGCAAATGCTCGGTCCAATCTTTCCTCAATAAATGCTAGTGGATCTCTTATGTTATCCCATGTAAATGGGTATCCCACAAAGCCTAAGTCTACCAACCCACAATCCATCAGAGCGTTGTTGAACCCGAAAAATTCATGGTCCGTTTTGGGTCTACCTCCCTTCTCCCTCCATGAAGTTGTCACAAGAGATTTCATGTTTGTTCATGATCCTTATTGTCTGCCCAACCATAAATACTCTATGATTCTCCACTTTCTTCTACTATTCTCTTCCTCAATATCAGCATCCATATAATGTTGAGTTTTATCTTTAATCTTTATCTTTAATCTTTATCTTTAATTTTTTTCTCCAAAGCACGCACAACACACCCTATTTTCCTTCCACATGGACTCCTTCACCATGATCAAAACCCAGCTCCCATTGTACTTTCTCCCACCCATATTTTGCAAGTTTCTTCTCCGTAAGTAAGGCAATTTGGGGTTTATGAAATCTAACAACGGATTCCAATGAAGCAACTGCCTCGAGATTACCCAACCCTTGACAGTTGAGACTTAGCAGATTCATTGTTATAGCATAGGCAACCCTGCTGCTCGGAAAGGTCCGCCTTTGGTAATTCGATTTGGTTGGTATTGTTTCCTATGTGCCTCTTCCCTTTATGTTCTTCTTTTCCATATTCTCGTCTCCATTTGCTCTTTTCTTCACAACTTCAATCGGATTATGTGTGTTTGCAGCTCCTCCTTCCTGTTGCTTAATTCTAGTCCATCTGCGAGGACCCTTTTTAGTACCACTTTATTTTTCCTTTTGGCTCGCCTCTTCTTTATTTATAAAAAAAAATTGAAATGAGGACTTCTTCTCACGCTCCCTCTTCTTCTTTTTCTTTTCCATGTCCCGAGTTCTTCAAGGCCAACCAGACTTTTACCAACTTTACTGCTTCAACTTTGCTTTTTGGACCATTCTTCTTCGATCAAAAATAGGATATAGAATTCTAAAAAAGTAGCCAAATTCATTGTTCAATCATATAACCATTCAAAACACCTTCTCTAATCCCGATAGTAACTAAAGTACTCTAATATAAGGACCTAATCATTACTAATGTACTCCAGGAGTCCTTACAAAAAATATTCTACCCAGATATCATCCCCCCAAATATACCTATAATTCCCCTAGATTACCTACACTCTTGACCCGTGTCATTTCCATTCTCCTAGAAAGTAACAAGTCTTACTCTCATTACCTAACACATGGCACTCAGATTTCCCTAACAAGTAGCAAGGCTTACCTAGTCTCTATGCACTGGTGGCTAGCCCGTGACATTTAGATATGTAAGATAAAGCATCAACATCGCATTTCGAGCTCTTCTCATCCTTTTGTTGCCTTTATTGAGACCTACTTGTGGAGCCACCGCTAGATTTGGCCAGATTTGTTGATCGTAATGCGTCTGAAACCTAGTAAGCCACCAGCGAAGGTTTGTGATACGCTGATCCACAACGTCCATCTGAGCTGGCTGGACAACATGGTGTTCCATGTTATATGTCCAACATTCTCGACTACCATGTCGTGGTTGACATTATGTTCTTGGTGGTTGTCATTCTCATTTGCATTCTCTTCATGATGGTGGTCTTCATGGATATCATTCTCGATCTCCTAAATTGCATCCTCTTCATGATGGTAGCTATCATTCTCATATGCATTCTCTTCATGATAGTGGTTTTCATGGATGTCATTCTCGACCGTCTAATATGCATCCTCTTCATGATGGTGGTTGTCATTCTCATATGCATTCTCTTCATGATGGTGGTCTTCATAGATGTCATTCTCGACCGCCTGATCTGCATCCTCTTCATGATGGCGGTCTACATGTTCGTCATGCATCATCTCTTAATGGTGGTCATTGTCGTCATCCATCACCATGTGACCTGTTAGAATCACCACCTCTGCATTATGACCACCTGGGTTCTCTGCACTAGTATTCTGAAGCACATGCTTGGTATTTTGAGCACTTGGGTTCTCTGCACCAGTATTTTGAGTCACCTGCAGTGTATTCTGCCCTTCTTGGTTCACTCCAACAGGCTCATGACCTTCATGATGGTGGACTTCATGATTGGCATGCATAGGCTGGTGGAACCACTTGATCTGCATTCCCTTCATGATGGTTGTCTTCATGCATCACCCCCTGGGCCGGTGGACCCACTTGATTTGTCACCTCCGCGTTTGCATTCTCTTCATGATTATGGTGGTCATTCTGATCATGGTCTTGATTCATCACCTCAAGGTTTGCAATGTTTTCATGATTGTGGTCGTCATTATCATCATTCTGTACTCTGACCATCTGGGTTCTTTGCAGCAATATTCGGAAGCACCAGTTGTGTCTCCTAAACTTGCTCTATAGGCTTAACTTCTTGGTTCCATGCATCAGGGTTCGGATTGTCTTGGTTCAACCGCCTTGTGTTCTAATCCTCCTCTATACTCTCATCACCAGGGTTCAAAATCCCTTTATGGTCCTCTGCTTGACGAGTGTTGGAGGAGCTAGCTTGCCCCCGGACCTCGCTTCCGACGCCCACCTCCATTATGTCACAGACCATCCCTCGGTCGCGGAGCTCGCCTATGTCACAGATGGGAGCCATCAGGATCACCATCTGTCCCGCCATGCCCACCACCATTAAGATCACCATTTGTCCTGCCCCCCCCCCCCAGAACATTAATATTCACCTGTTTTCTCCCAAATTGAGTTGGGTGGCCAAGACATGCTTCATTTGGTCGGTCCACGTTTTTATAAGCTAATATTGCATAACAGTGAAAGTACTCAGTAAGCATATCTTCTAAACAGTCAAGTCGCTCAGGGAGAGGCAACCCAACCAATCAACCACTGGATCTCCCTTCAACGACTGAGCCGCCCGATCATATGGCGTTGGTCAAGGATTCCCTTAAACAGAAATTATGCTTCACATGCGGCAACCCCTTCTCATGGCATGCGGGACACTTCCCAGCAGACCCTTTTACTAAGGGCGCTAGGTCTGCCTCTAGGTCCGCGAAAGTTAGGTTCTCCGCCATCTCCTTGGATTGGTGTTTAATGCATAATCTTCTTTTGGTTAAATTTAATGGGAACTCGTAACTGGTTATTTGGCAAATTTTGGCGGGAGATAATCTTCATGACACGAGAGGAGAGATCTTGGAAGATATTCGACAGCTGGTATGGAATTTTGAATTTTGTTCATGCTTCCATGTTACTCGTCAAGATAATAGAACAACCCATTTTGTGGGCAAAAACACTCTTTCATCAAAAGTTCGACGATTAGTCAACTACCGCACGTGACTTAGTTCTTTCTTTAACTTTGTTTTCGGACTTTCGTCTCGTTTTTACTATGTTAAGAAGAAAAGAGCTGATTACTTACGTCATTTTTGTCTGAAATGCTAAAAAGGGATACCAACAGACAATATGGTTTGGAGGGGCGCCCTACGATGAGACCAACAAATCAAATCGAAGCCCCTCAGCCACAAACCCTAACATCCGCACATTCCCTGCTACTGCTAGAACAAAAGCTTTGAGAAAAAGATTAACCAGTTTCTTATGTGCTAGAATAGTATCACTTTCTATTTTCCCCGTAAGCGTATGTAAGAGGGCAATCCTAAACTTTCTACTCAGTTATCACCTTATTAATGTTCTTGACCGCCGACGACCCACAAATCTATTGATCAATGATCAGAGCTGCCTTGCCAGATCCAAAAGGAACTTAAACAGAATAAAGGTCCAGGAGGATATAACAAAGAACACGATCTGACCCAAAATTATCAAACCTAAGTCGAACCGCTCGACCCATCTACATAGATTTTAGAAACCCCAAAAATTCACATGATGGGAATCCAATAAATTAAAGACTAACGGAAATATATACATACATACATGTCACTCGAATCCTGGCGTATTGATATTTGATAAGTTGCACCACCCCAGAAACTGGCTGTCATTCCCATGTGCACAACGGGTCCCACTCTCTCATGTGGGCCGACTGGGATGGATTATTGACACGGCATTATCCCATACCATAGTAATCAGGACTCACAGAAATATGTTATTACAAAATGGAAAATTCACATTGAGAACAAAGAACATACAGACGTATGTGTTTACTAATAAAATATGCATTATTTAATTTATGGGCAGTTGAGACGACATCAATGCATTAAGAAAAGCATAAATTATAATAAGCGTGAACATTTATATATTCGACAGGAAATAATCTACGAGTCATTTGCTTCGTAGAGTTGAAAAATGAGAATTTTGGTAAAATCCTGGATTTGAAAAACTCTAAATTTATGATGAATTTGTTGGCATTATGAATTTGAAAAAGTCTATTGTTTGCTTATTGGATTTTATTAAGGTTTGTGAAATCGTATCGGAGATTGTAACAGAAATATCATCAGTAGGTTAGGTTATTTATGGTGAAATCGTGGCTTAATCGTAGTTCAACCGTTAAAATCGCTAAATACAGCCTACCAATTTAGCCTCAATACCGGTATTCTGCGAATGAACCGCTGTTACTATATTGTTTCACAAACTAAGAATTTTATTTAATTAGATTTGTCTGTATGGGATGAAATTTTTTATCCTTATCCAAATTCCACCTCTAATAATGAGATTTGCAAGTATGAGGGATACATATATATTTAATCCCTTAAGTTCGTGGACGCCGCTAATTTTACTCTTTAGCAAACAATAAGTTTTGAAAAAAAGTCCATAATAATCAATTGAATGTGAAACTCAAATCCAACAACAAATCAAAGAGCAAATTAAACGAACCCACATTTCAAGACAACGAAGGTTTGCAATCATAATATTATGACTTGACAACAATATGGTGCCAGCAACCAGTGAAAGTACAGCCAGGCAATGGCATGCATGCAGCCTGGAAATGCGAAAACATGGGTGGAATGGAATCCCTTTTTCCCCTAATTAACTCGTTGCCGCACACTCGTCCTCGTCCTCTCGATCGTAAGGTAATTGATGAGTTGTTGTATTGTATGTATTGTGGCCCATATATAGAGAGACTATAGACAGCCGTCGCCATCCATAATCCGCTACTTTCGTCGGCCGGCCCCATGCACATTCCTCGTCGTGGTTTCCAGCCAGTTGCGAATGGGCTTTGCCCTTTTGTAAATCCCACTAACTTGTGTTCATTCAATTATCAATTATAACCCGCAAAATGTTATTTGATTTATCTATACACAATTATCAATTAACAAAAGAGGCCGAACCAAGATCAATGGGATGTCCACATTGATTGATACCATACCATTAATTGGACTTTTCCCCTCCGCTTTAATTATCTGCCAATCACATGAACCCAAAACACTGTCGACAATCACAACGCAGAGAGACACTCCAATCACATTATATAATCTGAATGGTTAAAGGTCGTCCTAAAAATTACTAACCATCGTCCTAACTTAATATGTAATTTACCAAATTGCCCATTTTGAATTTCAAAATCAAACACAAAACAAACAACTCCTCCCCTTCCATAAATCTAAAAAAATATATAAACCAAAATTCAACAAATTATCTTATGGACCGAATCATAAATCGTAGTAAAAGAATAGAAAATTATTGATATAAACCAAACAAATCCAAAAAAAACCAAAACCCCTCAACCGAAGCCAATTTTCGGTTGTACCATGGCTCAACCTAAGGCAATTTTCGGTTGCACCATGGACCAACCGAAAATCACCTTCGGTTGCACCATGGCTCAACCGAAAATCACCTTCGGTTGCACCATGGTTCAACCGAAGCCAATTTTCGGTTGGTCCATGGTACAACCGAGAATTGCCTTAGGTTGAGCCATGGTACAACCGAAAATTTGCTTCGTTTGAGGGGTTTTGGAATTTTTTTTGAAAAAAAAACAGATTTTTACATCGTCGGAGTCGATACTCATGATTCGGACGTATTCTCAACGATTACGAATCGAGAATGTCAACGATGAATTCGAAAGTGTGGGACATTGAGTGTTTTTCATTTTTTTTAGTTAAAGTGATGTTTGTTTGCTAAAAATGCCAAAAGGTTAAAAGTGTAACTTTGTTATTTTTTAGGACGATCAATAGTAATTTTAAGGACGACCTTTATCAATTCCCTTATATAATACAATCTTGTAAACTCCATTCATTTTTAGTTTCAAGAGTGTGTTGTTGTTCAATACATCTACTTGTAACATTATCAATATCGCATTTGATCAACATATGATACTCTATCTTCTAAGGTTGTGTGTTGTAGAGCATAGTTTATGACATTTAATTTTGAACTTTTCTAATAATAATCACTAAACCGAATAAATATTGAACTTAATAAAATATTGTTTTTATGTCGTTCATGGATTGGCCAAATAATCAACAATTGCATGACATCTGTTCGCTTTATTAGGAAGTGGTTAAGTAACATACATGAGTATCTCCTAACAAATCGAGTTATAAGGACCAGTTGATTTATGACATGATATCACACCTGGTTTGTCCTTGATGTCACGTGTTCAAGTCCTTACGACCACCAATATTTAACCGTTGTCTCTCAAGCACATGGTATGGCGGGTCATGTACAAATTTCAAGCCACGTGAGTTGACTTTCATTTGAAGGGCGTGTTAGAAAGTGGTTAAATACTATACATGAGCCTCTCCCAACAAGTCGAGATATTGAGACTAGTTGGTTTATAACGCGTCTGGGGAACACATAGACGGGATACGAGAGGTAATTACTGTTAGTTTTTACAAGAGTAAGCTAGGAATATTGTAGACGGTTACGCAATATAAAGACCTAGCTAGCAATAGGGTGTAGAGGTGGCAATTGGATCGGATTCGTGGATTCGTGGATTGGATTCGTGGATCCATGGATCAAATGGATTGGATCCAATGGATTGGTGGATTCATGGATTGGTGGATTGATCCATGAATCCAAATGACATCCAAGGCTTGGACCAAAATGTAATTTTTGAAAAGTTTATGTACTAAAATGTCATGATGAAAAAATTTAGGTACCAAAATGTAATTTTCCAATGTTATTTTTCGTATAAAAATATAAATTTTAGGTACCAAAATGTAAAATATAAAAAATATAGGTACCAAATCGTAATTTGCCATTTGGATCCATGGATTGATCCATGAATCCACCAATCCAATTGGATTTGGATCAAATGGATTGGATTTAAATGGATTGGATTAGGTGGATAATTTGGTGGATGGATTGGATTGGATTCATGGATTTGGATCTTAATTGCCACCTCTAATAGGGTGAGAAGATCATCTGCTGGTAAAACACTAACAACCAATGTCGTCCATCAATTACTCATCCTGTTTATTTAGATTTCATCACATTTTATCTCTCGGTAATCTGGAAATATATCCGATCATAGATGTACATATATGAGATAACCCTGCTTCGTCCTGATACCGGGTCGAACCACCCCCACCTCCTTGGTCAATTCTCCTACCAACCAATTAAGTGAGTGTCGCCCACTCAAGTCACCCTTCTTCTAACGCTTCTTCTGATGCCTTCTTGTTTGTCCAAACTTGCAGCCGGACATTATGCTAGCTCCACAGCAACTTGGCTTATCCCATGCCACACACGCACTAAACTGGGAATCTAAAGCCCAATGTTAGTTCCGGTTCAATATCCATAATCTTGTTTCTTCTCATTGCTGTAAATCAATTCGGTCCAGCCCTGGTTGGATCCACACTCCAGCCCATTTATCGAAACCCCAATCCCGTGATTTACGGATTTAAAAAAACTTTTATTAAATAAATCATTTGCGCGTGCACGTCAATCGCTAACCTCTTTCCCCATCTGATGTCTCTTCCCCAAGCTGTACTGTAAATTCCAAAACCTTTTTATTTTTATTTTTATTTTCTCTCTCTCTCTTTTCCCCTTCAATTCATCTCTGCTACAGGCCTACAGCTAGCCAGTGGCCACAGCCCACAAACACTTTCCTCCATTTCCCCCCCTTCTTCCTCTTCTCCCCCACATTGCCGTCGATCCATCCTCCGGCCGCCGCCCGAACTCTCTCTTCTCACCAATCGAACTCTCAATCATGGCGCTACCACCACCGCTGCGGCCGCAGCTTCTCATTTTCCTCTCTTCCATCTTCTTCTACTTAGCAGCAGTCTCCGAATCTAGGCTGTCCTACAACTACTACGACAAATCCTGCCCCAAATTCGCCCAAATCATCCAGGACACCGTCACCGACAAGCAAATCAAGAGCCCCACCACCGCCGCGGGGACCCTGCGCCTCTTCTTCCACGACTGCTTCGCCAACGGCTGCGACGGCTCCGCCCTCATCTCCTCCACCGCATTCAACAGGGCCGAGCGCGACGCCGACATCAACCTCTCCCTCCCCGGCGACGCCTTCGACCTCGTCACGCGCGCCAAAGTCGCCCTCGAGCTAGCCTGCCCCAACACCGTCTCCTGCTCCGACATCCTCGCCGTCGCCACGCGAGATCTCGTCACCATGGTCGGTGGCCCCTTCTACAACGTCCTCCTCGGCCGCCTCGACTACCGCGTATCCAAATCCTCCGCCGTCCCGGGGAATCTCCCCTTACCGTCAATGTCCACATCGCAGATGATCGACATGTTCGCCGGCAGAGGATTCTCCGCCCAGGAGATGGTGGCGCTGAGCGGCGCCCACACCATCGGATTCTCCCACTGCAAGGAGTTCACGGGGCAGCTGTACAGCAACGGCACGGGATCCGGTGGGTATAATCCGAGATTCGCGCAGGCGCTGCAGAAGGCGTGCGCAAACTACAAGAAGGACCCGTCTATCTCGGTGTTCAACGACATCATGACGCCCAACAAGTTCGACAATTTGTACTACCAGAACTTGCCCAAAGGGTTGGGCCTGCTGGCGTCCGACCACGGGCTCGTCTCCGATGGCCGGACCCGGCCTTTTGTGGAGCTGTACGCCAGGGATCAGAACAAGTTCTTCCAGGATTTCGCCAAGGCGATGCAGAAGCTGAGCGTCTACGGAATCAAGACTGGGAGGAGAGGCGAGATTAGGCACAGGTGTGATGCTGCCAACTGATTGGATTGGATTGGATTCTTTTTCTTCTTTTTGGAACGGCATTGATTCATATATGGTCGGTCAATCTCTCTTGGATTTAAAGTTCGGAGGTTGTTATATTTTCATGATTATAAATGATGTTTTTTTGGGTTGTGATCGTTGTTCTTTCCTTTTGGTTCTATGAGCTTCTACAAATCGATCGGTCTTAGATAGGATTATCTTGTATTACCAGAGAGGGGGTTTTCATACGGGGAGATGGGGGAAGAAAGCAAGAAAGAGCTTACTTTGTATCAAGCAAGAAAAAAAAAAGGAAAAGGGCTGATTTGAACTTTGTAAAAATTGATACTTTACATTTGAGCGTGTTATTATCATGTTAATTTTATATAGTTTGGTTCTGCTCCGCTTCATCTCCTACGGCCTAAATCGAAAATTTTGGCAAATTTATCGGCCCTGAATCACTTGCTCTCATGAGTTGATCATATATAATTGGTGACGCCCTTGAACATGGTGTGTTATTCTTCTTAGTTGTCGAAGGTTTTTTGAAACTGCATGTGTTTAGTTTGGGTGATATCACTCCATTGAGCAGAGCCTCCTTATGATCTCCAACCATCCAACGTGTGTGTGCTTCACCTTACTTTATAGGCAGGGTAAAGCGTTTAAAAGAATTTAAAAAGTGTATGATCCAACTGGTAACCTTACCCGTGATATATTGATGAAGAATGCATCATAATGTTGTTAAGCACAGGCGTAATCAAGCATGATGATGAACCTAACGACAACATCAGTCTCGTAGATGCACATCTCATTATATCGGTGTAATCGATTCTGCTCTTGAGGAAGAATCCAGCAGAGTTTGTAAAAGTTTGGGCTGAGAATGAGTCCCCTGAGGTGAGCCTGACCCAGGGTTGCTGCTGGTGGCTGGCTAGGTGTAGTGAATCTGAGAAATTGAAACTAACCAGTCAACCCAACAGTGAGTCAGGTCAGTTGGAAGGAGAAGAAGGTAGAAAATGGGGGATTGGAAGAATCCAAAGCTGAGAAGGATTATTAAAATGGTAATGGGAAATGAGGACCGGGGAGCAAGCAATTAAGCATTACCATAATACCGAGGTAGAGGCGCAATCAGCGGTGAGTATATTATAATGGGATTCTGAAATTGGGAGCTTATTAACAATAAATTAAAATTCCTTCCGACTGTCACGACTCTACTCTATGCTGAATTTTGGCATCGGGGTTGTGGTGTGAGAGATTATATTATTAGTGCCGGCTCCATTACAGTTTTGGTCATTACTCATAAGCGTCGGTGACACCTTGTCCCAGAAGAACCAATTCCTTACATGTGCGCAGCCGGCTTTCAAGGCATATTTCCTCGTCATTTCCCACCGGAGACAGTTGCGATTAACATCTCGACACCGTGGTTCATAAAGAAATGATAAACAGTTGCGGATACTCTCAGGGTTTCTTCATCAGGACATTTCAAATTCCTACTCGCCAGAGCTACTTGCAGCCTTCTTGTTTATGATCACCCGTCACATACTTAAGGTGCGTGCTCTGATTTCTTTGGGGTGGTACCCTATTGATTCATTTGATTGTGCTATGATATCGTCTTTTTTCAAGTGTTCTGGTGTTCAGGGTGCTTTTTCGCAAGTTGTATTGTCCTACTTATGAAGTCGCGCACAAAATTCTGTTGATGTCTACGTCAAATTCAATAACGGAGCCGCATTCTACCCATGAAGAGCTGTAGTCTCTCAATTTATAAATGTAGATAAATTTACATGTAAAATTTGCAACAAAATTGAAAAATAGACTAATTGGCAAGACTCTTGCTCCCTCTCCAATGACCATGGTCAAATCTCTCAAGTATAAATTTTGTAGCCGCTCATTCAAATTTCTAACTTTGTCCTTATACCGAACTGTTGATGTGATTTGAATCGGACTATCAGTCGCTATGACTTGAATTCACGGGACTGGTTGTAACCGCTTTTCCTTTACCAGATTGGATTAGGGTTGGACCTAGGAGTACTATAAATACTTCTCATACTCTTCTGTAATCTGTATTACCTTAAGTGTAGTGAAAACTGACTCTCTCCTGTCCGTTGACGTGCCATCACACATTATGTTAGTGAACCACGTAAATTGTGTATTTTGTATGTGCTTTTATTTTTTGCATTGTTGAAACTTTCTATTTTCCCATAAGCGGAAAACAGTCTTTGACAGGAAGAAATAATTTTATAGCAAATTATCCTGTTTTTGCATTTAGGACAGTAATCTACAGCCAAAATCTCAAATGCCAAACGATCCCTCAATGTCATGTGTTTAATCAAGTACGTAGGCACTATCATATAACGATGCCAAGCCAGCTGTCTGCGGGCCGGCCCACCTGGAAAGGCTCACAATTGTAGGCCCAGATAAAAAGTTTGCATGAGGAGGTGGCCCGCTCGCCTATGATGGTCACCTAACGCTCATTTTACCTACCAGGCTACCACACCAATGTGAATACGTGATGAAAAAGTTTCAAGAATCTACAAATAATGATCAAGGAGAAAAGCCAAAGCCCAAAATGGCCTTTCTTTACATTATCACCATTGGAGAAAACACTAATTATAACGAGGCCGCAGACTTGAGAATGAGGTTGTGATTGTTAGAGGCATCAGTTTGGATTCAAATGTTTTAGATTGGAGTTTTGACGTTGTTCGTCTAATCCACTCATCTGAACTCGCTCGTCGAAATTTTATAAAGGTCTAAATTTACTGCAAGTGACGAATTTCTTTTTTATATGATTGTACAACGATTGAAAACTAATGAATATACATAAAAAAAAGTTACATCCTTTCCCATGTTCATCTGTCGTCTCCTATACAAAATCAAAGCACATCTCAAATTCTCAATCATGGAGCATAAAATAATTAATAACTCAATTAATTACAAGGATTCCTAAACTTCATGTACGTGTTGACAAAATACAAGATATAGCAGCCATGATGACAATGTGACCGGATGCTTACTCGGTGTATGATGCAGCCATGACGACCATATGATGTGCCGTGGCAGTTGAAGGTTCTCGTTCAATGTATATAAATATATCATCACAAATGGACAAAACCTTGTTCAGTTCACTAGCCATCGTGCGACCTTAAATCAACAATTCAAAACCTCTATCTCAATCCCCTATATATAAAGCAGGTGAAACCCATATCATCATTCATCAATCATCCCTCCAATTCCCACCAGAAATTAAAAGATCAAACTCTCTACAGCTAGACTCGACTCGAGATGGTTCAGAAGCACCACGTGGTCGTGTTCTCGTCTCCGGGAATGGGCCACCTCATCCCGCTCGTCGAGCTCTCCAAGAAGCTCGTCACGGCCCGCGACCTGTCCATCACCCTTATTATCCCGTCCTTGGGGCCGCCTCCCAAGGCCCAAGCTCAAGTGCTCGAGTCGCTCCCACCCGGTTCGATCAACCACGTCCTCCTCCCTCCGTCCGATCCGTCCGAGTTCCCGACCGGTTCCCGAATCGAGACCCTGATTTGTCTCACCGTCGCCCATGCGGTTCCCGCCCTTCGCGAGGCGCTCAGGTCACTGGTCGAGAGGGTTGGAAGGCCGGTGGCTCTGATTGCTGACTTCTTCTGCACCGTCACGTTCGATGTTGCAAGAGAATTCGGTGTGCCGAGTTACCTGTTCATCCTCATGAATGCCACGGTATTGTCCATGTTACTTCATCTCCCGAGGCTCGACCAGGAGGTGTCTGGCGAGTACGGGGACATGGATCGCCCGATCCAGCTCCCCGGTTGCAGGGTCGATCTCCCCGGTTCGGATCTGCCCGACCCGCTTCTCGACCGGAAGGATGACGCCTACAAATGGTTCATGCACAACGCCAAACGTTTAAATCTGGTGGATGGATTCCTGGTAAACAGCTTCACCGAGCTAGAAGGAGAGACCATTCGGTATTTGCAGGAGAATGCCGGACCCGAGAAGAAACCGGTCTACCCGGTCGGACCCATCATCCAATCCGGCCAATCCAACGGTTTGACCGATCCGAGCGGGTGTTTGAAATGGCTGGATGATCAACCGACCGGTTCGGTCGTGTTCATTTCGTTCGGCAGCGGCGGGACTCTGTCTACGAAGCAGCTGAAGGAGCTGGCATTGGGTCTGGAGATGAGCGAGCAACGTTTCCTCTTGGTGGTGAGAAGCCCCAACGACGCGGCCACCGACGCCTCGTATTTCAGCGCGAAGAGCGCTTCGAACCCGGTCGATTTCCTGCCCGATGGGTTCGTGGGGCGAACCAGAGGCAGAGGCATGGTGGTTCCGTCGTGGGCGCCGCAAATCCAAGTGCTTGGCCACCGGGCCACGGGCGGGTTCGTGAGTCACTGCGGGTGGAACTCGACGGTGGAGAGCATCGTGAATGGGGTGCCGCTGATTGCCTGGCCGTTGTACGCCGAGCAGAGGATGAACGCGGTGCTGCTGGAGAAGGATATGGAGATCGCGTTGCGGCCGGAAGCAGGGGAAGACGGGGTGATCGGGAGGGAAGAGATCGCGAGGGTCGTGAAGGGGCTGATGCGAGGGGAAGAAGGTGCGGCGGTTCGTGAGAGAATGGCGAAGTTGAAGGTGGCGGCGGCGGAGGCGGTGAAAGAGGAAGGTTCTTCCACCATGGCGTTGGGTGAATTGGTATCTAAGTGGGGAGAAGAGCCATTAGAATAGTCCATTGACCAAAATAATTAGTTTATTTGTTTTGATTCTCATAAATTGTATTGTCTTGTGCAGCTGTGCTCTCCATTATTTTGTTTCAACAGTCCATTTAATAATTGACTTGAGCTTTTATTTTTTGTTGGTGGTAGTTAGCATTATTAGCTTTGTCGTCGTCTTCAAGAACAATTCATATGATTCCCCCAAGCTCGTCCCGTCCAGAATTGTTACCCCTATTTCCGAAGTCTTGGTGTTCTCGATTGTGAAGACCACGAAGCCCTTTGCCTCTCAACAAGTTTCTCACCGACTGTCCATCTTACCTCGGTACATTCATAGGTTTC